CAGAGTTCCTGATAAAATCTGCATTTTTTTGGAGGTGGGGGGCATGGCACTGAGTCCTTTTAAATTTATTTTGACATGGGGTCTTGCTAACTTTCCCAGGTAGATCTAGCAAATTACTGCACCCCGATACAATTTGTGTGTTTTTGGTACTAGGGATTGAACGCAAAGACACTTTATCATTGATCCTCATCCCCCTGTCCTTTTTATTTTTTGAGACAGGATCTCCTTAAGTTACCTACAGCCTAAGTTGCTGACCCTAGCTCTGAACTTGCGATCCTCCTGCCTTAGCCTCCCCTTAGCCACTGGGATTACAAGGAAGGAACCACAAATAATTGCATTAACTGCAAGTGATAAAGCACTTATCGCCTTGCTGCTACTCTGCAAATGGGTGAGGACCACTCCTGAAGCACCCGCCTGCTCTGCTGGGCAACCACTACTGTACTCACCAGTTACAGAGGGGAGCCTTGCCTAAGAGCCAGAAACTCCCAGGGATCTGCCTTCACCAAAATTCATCTTCTTTTTACCACCCTTAAATGCTGTTGTGGCTCAAAAATTTTCAGGAAAAAGACCCATACTAATTTCTAAAAAAAAAAAAAAAAAAAAAAAAAAAGGTCTTAATTTCCTTCTGATCCTCTATAACATTTAATGTCATTCTAAGAAAATAAAAACTTTGGGTGGTTCTGAATTTGGAGCTAATCCCAGCTCTGTCAATTAGCTAGTCAAGAAAAGCTGGAAAAGGGGGGGGGAGGGGAAGTGACCATTTTGGTTGCCATGACTACCTTTAAGTTCCAAACATGAACCCCTGAAGCTTTTCAAGGTCAGTTATGGAGTGACAGCACAGTCCCTAGGACATGATCTAAATCTCAACCTCTATTATCATGTAACCATGTGACTAGAAGCACCAGTCTCCTTGAGCTGTCTCACTGATAAAATGATGGTGCTGACTTCTGACTGACAAGGTAGGTAAATAGTGCTCAAACTTTTCTGGATCAGGAACCCCTTTTAAAATTTTGCTGAGATCTGATCTGTCCCCAGAACCACACACAAGGTCACTGACCCACAACAAGCATGCACACACCTTCAGAGCCCAATCATGAGCCCTGCCTAAATGAACACATCCTATCTATCCTCTAGAGTCTCCCCAGACACCCCAGGGTACTCCTTGTTTTTTCAAATACCAATCACATGAATTAGATTTCAGTGTTATTACAGAAGTCATTTATCTGTGATATTAAGGGGAATGAATGAAAAATGGCAGCAAATGTATGTACCACCTCAAACCATGCTTGGCACATATTGAGTGCTCAGCAAGCATTTATTAACTGAATCAAGGTCTTTTTTAAACACACATTACTGTATTCATTAAAAGCCACAACTCTTTGTTGATTCTGTAGTCCCAAGTCTTTCAAGCAGATGTATTTAAATGACATTTCATTCAGCCAACATCTAATGCTCTTTATCTTTAAATTAATTGAAACATCTAAAGTTTTTTATTACTATCATATACTACTGAAGAAATAACAGCCTTTCTTAAGGTCATTTCATCTATCTTTGCTCAGCAGCTGCTCTCATAAGGAAACTTATACATTAAAAGAAAAAAAAAGGAAGAAAGAAAGAGGTTCAAAGAATTAAAAAAGAGTCAAATTTAAAACCAAGCACAAAAACACAGAACATCCCTAAAAAATTACTGGCTTCATCATGTCCCCTGCTCAGAAACAGGAACTTAAGTATTCATATTTTCACTGTTATTACTTTCATTTTCCAGGTTTTACATCAAAACAGATTGCTTATATTAAGGCTCATTTGTTTTCCTACCATAAAAGCTTAAACAAGTAAACTGAATAATCCTCTCTCTCTTTCTCTCTCTCTCTCTCACACACACACACACACACACACACACACACACACACACACAATCTACCAACCCATTTTAGGCTCACAGCTAAAAATCCAAACATATCGGCAATTCCATCTAGATTCACCTAAGTCTCTGAATTTTGGGGGCACTTGATTTAAGTATATTCAACATAGAACAGAAAAAGGTAATAATAAGTCTTAGTCTCATTGAGAGCTGAGGTTCTCAGAGTTTGGTCCAAGGACCCATGAGTGTTCCAGAGACCCTTGATCTCTATTATGGCAGATTTCCTTCCCAAACAACAAAAACAATTGTATCATAACAAATCAAATACAGAAGCTGATCAGAAACTAGCTAACCTCTTTTAAGCCAGGCACTAAAGAAGTTTGCAAACATGTAAAAGAATGCCAATTCACCCTAAAAAATTTGTTTTGGAAAATGGGGTTTCTCATTAATGATACTTATCCTACAGTGATTTAAATTTTTTCTTCCAATTCAATAAAAAAATCAAGAAAAACAAGTTATTAGGGGTCCTCAATTTTAATTTGAAGGGAGAAACAAACATCTGAGACCATAAGTTTTGAAAAACATTGCTCCAGAGGCCCTTTACCTCTGTTGGCTTAAAAAAAAAAGAGGCAGCAGTGCAATCAATTGACTTCTCTGCCAAGTGAAATCAGACTTCATAATTCAAACCACTTTATTAAATAAGTGAGTTCCTATTTTTATATATATTTTATGTATATTTTTATATTTTAGGGCCTAATAGTACACACATGACATTATTCACCGTTTCTTGTACTCAATTTTATACCAAGTTTGAAGAGCTCTTTAATTTTATATAACTGTAATGCAAAATCCCCCTTATGGGGACAGTGAACAATTTAACTCCTCTTTACAGACTGAATTAAATATTTCAGTTAAAGTTAGTGCAGTCTTCCCATTTCATATCACCACCACCATTCTGCAGTAATTAGGCAGAGAACACAGGTACTCGTACTATTCTGAAAACATTCATTGAAATGACCCCTAAAACTCGTTACAAATTTGATATGAAAAAACATACAAGTCAATAACACGTAAGTCACCACTTCATTTACATTATTGCACAGATCAGCTTATGCAATGACCCACTCCATTTTGACTGGAGAGTTGACTGACTACTAACTTGAATATGTGCACTTAAAAACAATACAGTCCCCTGAAATTCAAGAACTTATTTGTATTTCTTTTAAGGACACACTAATCAACCTCCCTCCACCCAATGAAGTAAACTCCCCCAATAAATAAGGTTTTTCAGCCAATAAACAAAATTACTGGACACTGAAATATAGACATATGCAGAGGTGTGAGGAACACCTGTACCAGCCTCAGTGTGCAAACCTCAGAGTTCACAGCTCCAGCATTTCAGAGCCACAAGGCATGCTGCATCTCTCCCACAACTGTGATGCCAATGTTACACAACTTCTGCTGAAACTTTCTATTCTTCTGTTTTTCTGTATTTCTGTCATCTCTCCTCAGTTTTCTGAAAAAGGTATTGTGCTACATGCCTACATACCTCTTAAACTGCAGACCCATCCCACAGTGCCTTACATGTAGTGTAAGTCAATATAGTCATTTGAGGTCTAAAAGTAATAATGAGGGGGGAAGTTGGATAAGAAGTCAGTCCCAGAGCTAAAAAATAAGTCCCAAAAAACCCCCAAAATGGTAAACATGGGCTTTTCCAACGAAACTTCTTCTGCCATGTGCTTTCTGGTCCAGGGTTAGGTCTGATATGATACTCTACTGAATGAACCTGGCAGAAAATAATGATGAGCTATAGGAATACCGAGACGGCAAAACATATAAAGGTCATCTCCATAAATCAAAGCAAGTTTACTTAAACGTGTACTTTGTGTGTTGGGTATTTTATTTCCTAGCTATAACATATTGTCCCTCCCTTTCCACTCCCAATGTTCTCCAGAGAAAACTTGTAGTATGAAAATTTTAAAAACTAGCGACCTCTGCCATTAACCATGCCCCTCCTCTAAACATATCCTAATACATGAAGCACACAAAGATCTGTCTCAAAGACAATTTTAAAAGCAACTATTTTTCTAGACAGAGGAGGGAGAGGGGGAAATAAAAAAATTATCAAACTGAAAAAAATTATGTCTTCTGCCCAAACTCCTAACAACAAAGTATCAGAACAGGGCTGGGAGGTACAGCTCGGTAGTAAAGCGCTTGCTTGGCATGCTAAGGACCCTGGATTCCATCCTCAGCATGAGAAGAAAAAGTATCAGAATAATTCCAAAATTCAGTATCACATTTTTTACGGTCTTAAAAATGGTTAAAATAGTGTTATGTTCAGAAAGAAGGGGAAAGAGGCAAAAACTGTAGCAATCCTAAGTGAAGAGGGTAAAGTTTTCATTCATTATTCGCTCCATGATATTTGAGAGATGCATTTGCAACACAGGTATACCCACAGCTAACTAGCAGATGCGTGTGTAATCCAAATGTGCATCATATAAAATGGGTACGATTTAGTCTGGTGAAAAGATGAGCTCTGTAAGCACATATCCCTGCCCACTGAATTTCCTTGTTTGTAAGCATTTGCTCAGATGCTTAGATATCTAAAATAAAATGGAAATTCAAGTTCGTACTCCAAGAACAATTATACAAAGAAAACTAGATATGGAAACCTAGCAACTAAGATGTGTTTGCAGAGGATAATGAATGGTTTAAGTAGAAGCAACACATCACTAACTTACTTCACATATGGATGGTGACTTCTTGCCTGTAAAGCTGATTTAAGATAAAAATGAATATTCTTAAACTACATGAAACCAGGTCTCAGAATGCAATGATAAGCCTATTTTTAAAGTGGGTCCTGGATACATACAGATCAAAGTGTATTTCCAGGTAAGCAATTACTGCAAACAGCTTCACCTCCAAATCATGCCCCTCTCGTCTAACACAAATTTTGTTTAAAAAAAAAAAAAGACAAGAGGGGAAATAGTCATAGAAGACAAATACTTTTAATTAGAAGAAAAAGAAAAACCCAGGTCAATGAGAGATGGGGAGTGTGGGCCTGACTGCGCTGAGTTCGCAGAGGGCGCTGGCAGGTGTTGGGGCTGTGTTTGTGTGCAGCAGGCGCTGGGGTACTTACTGTGCCCGGCTCTCTGTCTGCTCCCGAGGTTACCAAGAAACGCACAGACATGCCCGTTCAGACACAGAGGCAAGAACAGAAATAAAAAAAAGGGGGGAATAATTAGAACACAAGCCCCAAACAGTTTTAAAAATGGCTTTTATTTATATAAGTCATTGCACATTCCTAATACAGTGATTTCCTGAAAATTACAGTATTTTGTAAACATAAGATTTACAGTTTAACCATTCACAAAGCCTATTTTTTTTTAATTTCTTGACAGAATAAATTACTTTTCTTCAAAAAATTAGTCAAGTGCAATTTTGCCCAATATTTAATGCATACTAGAATTAAAGCCTATGAAACTAAGTAGTAACAGATGCAATTATCAAACCTTTCATTTGAACACATTCACTTTCAAATTTAACTTCTTATTTCGCCCCATTTAACAACATTACTTTCTTTGAAAATTACCCAATTAAGCAGTTAACAGTTTTCCATAATATGGTACAGGCCACTGGCATTAACTAGGCAGTTGCCAAGATGTCAAGATGCCTGCAAATCTAGTGAGATCGAGAAATCTACGATGCCCACGGCAAACCCTGCAAACTTCCAGGGTGAATTGAATTGTGTGTCAGTGAAAGCTTTGCGACAGTTCCTCTTATCTCATTGTTTGCTCTCTGTATAGGTTGGGGCTTTCGTTAGCGATGCACGCAACTTTGCAGCACTGAGTATGAGGTCAAAGTCCTAATCCGGTTTGCCCGGCCTCTCACCTCTGTGGTGCTCTGCATCATGGTGCTTCTTGTCATCTTTTATTGCCAAGTGAGACTGCCCACTCAGAGCACTAGACAGCGCGAGAAGGCTGGCACTGCCCCCGAGGGGCGGGATGCCAGGAGGCTGCAGTCCTGAAGGGTGAGGCGTTAGGGGTACCGGGGGTCCATGGCCATGAGAAAGATGCTGAGCTTGCAACTGCTGCTGCTGTTCGTGGTGGTGAGAAGAGGATGGGGGAACAGGAGGAGGACGTGGTGGTGGTGGGGATGAAGCACACCCAGAGGGGAGAAACACAAGAGAGGATGCAAGAAACAGACAGGACGTTGGACATACACACAGAAGGGACAGAGACAGGGAAGAAAGGGGGGAAAATAAGATTAGTACTTTCAATTCATCAAAAGCTTTCACCCTTGCAATAACTTCTCCCCACCATCCCAAAAATCAAACCCTCCGATCTACACTGTCACTTCCTGGCATATCTCATGCCCTGGGAGTAGAGATGCTTATGATAAAGCAAGTCTGGCTAAGTCAGTAAACACTTAAACACAAGTTTCATCTCTAAGCGCCTCCAGGGACAAAATCCAGTGTGTCACTGAATCTAAGATGCTGCAGATTTTAAGTCTCCTCTTGATTTCCGAGCAGTGGAGTTGGGGGTAGTAACGTTCAACCGACAGTGCAACAACCACACCCTGACTAGTCCCAGTGACCTGGTCATTGCACTTTACCCTAACACAAGCTATGATGAGACAAAATCAAATGTTACCTTCAATCAACAGAAGCCCCCCCAAAAAAACAAAGTAGTGTCTAGCTCTCTCTCCAGCACCATTCAGGCTTATGTGTCCCTGTGTCACCAAGTCCTCCCTGAACTGTGAGAAAGCACGATGTTCCCATTTCTCAGAAGGAACCCAGGCTCAAAGGCACTACTGAGGTTTTCCCCCCACCTGAGGCAGCAAAGGACTGCAGTCATTTCCAAAGCCCCATAGAGCTGCACTCCTTCTCATACCGTTCCTTGGGGGTGGGGGTCAGGGGTCGTGACAGCTAAAAGAAACCTCAGAGATAAAGCTTTGCTTACGGGCCCTTTCTCCCAAACCCCCTACCTCAACTCCACTCTTCCTGTAACAGATGAAAACACTGACACTGGGACCCAGAGAGGATAAGAAGTTTGACAAGGAAAACACGTCTCACTGACCGGTATGGGACTCCAGTCAGGGAGACCCGGGGCCCCCACCCACCACAGCACTGGGCCTCTGTCGCATCACCCACTCCAAAGGTCATAAATCTGTTCACATTATACAGAACCGCTTCTCTCATATATTATATTTAAAAGCATGTAAAGTATCCAAGAAATGGTCCCTGCATCATAAATCTGGACACATTTCAGCTGTCCAACATAAAACGCGTTTTTGATGAGACAGTAAAAACGATTAAAGCTCAATTTCTAAGGTGTAATGTTAGAAAATTCTTAAGATTCTGATTTGTGCTCACTTCCCTGGGACTCAATTACTCGTTTTATTTATCATCCCTTTGCACGTACTGAATATATTAAATCTTCATGCCAGATCTACAGTCACTTCCACCCAGACCACAGATTTTTAGTTGAGACCCAAACATGCTTCCCACCCAAGAATAAATCACCATCTTAAAATCAGAAAGCAGTAGCTGCTGCAATTATACAGTAAATGTTCAACCACTCCTATAACCTTTAAAAGAAATTTTTGTGCACATTGTACATACAGGGGGGTTGAACTCAGGGGCGGCTCCACTCCTGAGCTACAACCCCAACTTTTTATTTTTTGAGACTCGGTCTGGCTAAGTTGCTGAGGCTGACCTCCAACTTGCAATCCTCCTGCCTCAGCCTCCTGAGTTGCTGGATTATAGGCCTGCACCACCATGGTGGACATAAAAAAAAAAATCTTTAAGAGTGCAACATCTTTAAACTTCCATTCCTTTTTTAGAGAGCCTCACTGAAATTAGAGGGAGAAATGGAAAAGGGGTGGGGAGTGACCTTAACAGCATTCCTGAAAAGCATTTAAAAACTACTCATTCACCATCTGAGATCATAATAACAATTTCTTTATGTGTAAAATCGCCTTCCTGTCATCCCAAAGACACTAAATCTTGCTCTGTCACTTTCTAAGGGCTGGGCAGCAGTGAGACATAAAACTGAAGAAGCTGGCAGCGGCATCACGGTCCACTAGGCATGCTCATTAGCACTTAATTAGGAACTAGACACCTGCCATAAGAAATGTGCTCAGAGAAGGATGAGGAGCAGGTCTGCCCTACCAGCAATTACTATCATTACTTGGAGAGTAAGAGCTATGTCCGGCTTCTGGGGGGGAAGGCAATGATGCATACACAAGCAAGTGCAGCGGGGTAATTAAGCACGGCACTGATTAAAAGAAGATGAGAGAGGCCAAGCAGAGGGGAAGAGATGTAACTACAGGGTGGAAGACAGCATTCTATCCCCTCTCTGCATCCCCACTCCCCAAAATATCCAGAATGGAGCCACTGGAAGGGCCCCTTTGGAGATGGGATCAAATGTACCAGATTTGTATCTGGAAACACGAAATGGAAGTAGAGACTTTACCCCCAAAGTCCAGGTTAGCCTCCAGAAATATAAATGGGAAAGCAGACCCTGACATATTACTGAAAAGAAGGACTAGCTTATGTAACAACAGGGCTTTGTCACAGCTGTGAAGTAATCTGTGTAGATCTATGCTTTAAACCCAACAGTTAAGCTGATAACCAGCAACAGGGACATTCAACAGCATACCTGGCCACAGAGAACTCCCATGTCTACCCTACTCTGGCTTTCCAGGCCCCCTGAAGAAAATAGCTGTCTATCACTAGAAGAAACAGGCATTGGGTTCTTTCATCCTGAGCTCAGCCATCTCGAATGCTGCTGCTGCGTCCCCCACCTCCCAACTTCATGAAGAAAAGGAAAATCTTATCAAACTAGAAATAGTAAGTAGCAACCAGATGGGTCCCCACTGTGGAAGATGCTGTGGTTCCAGGAGATGGGGATCTACTGCCTCACATTCTATCTCTTGATCCTGCTGGGCAGTGCTCCTGGATACTATAATATATCCATGCTCATTATCCAGCCTGAGCTGAGAACAATCTTAAGGCAGGAAACATAGGTACTGGACTCCCATTTTCCCAGATGAGACTCATTCACAGCAGTCTAGCCAGGAAGCTCTGAGCCAGTGGGAGGACTTGCAAATTTCTGTTTTGTAAAACACGCTCTAAAGAGCATTTCTCCTGTAACTCCAGCAACCCAGTCCTGTTGCCAGCACAAAAGAGGGCAGTTTCCACTGGATACTTCACCCTTCTCTCCATGCCCAGCCTGTGAGATGCTCTCCAAAGCACCCAGTCCCATGCACCCAGGGACAGATCCACCACCACTATCCAGCCTTAACAGCAGTGACCAATGTAAGTTCGTTCATAGATTTCATGAGCACCACCTCTTTCATTTCACTTCTCAATGCCTGTCCCTACCTCTGCAAAAAAGGAGGACATCATTTGCTCCCGCTCTCTTCCAAGGAAATTTTTAAGTACAATCAAGCTTCCAGAGATAGTACTGGGTTGTTTCCAGAAGTAGATACTTTATAAGTAAAAAGTATTTTTTTCATTTAAAATTAATCTAAATGAATATAGAGAGCCCATATTTAAAGAGTAAAATGGTTAACTCCAAAAGGGCAGCCCACACCGTCCATGCAACATGGCCCCCCAAGACGATATGATACTCACCACCCTCACCAAAAGGAAAAAGGATGAATGCCAGTTAAAAAATATATTTTAGGGCAAAAGTGATACTGGCTTTGCTCTATAGCCAAAAACCCAATGGCTTCCACAATCAGGGGGACTTACATACATATGTCCTCTGTGGACCAAAATCTGCTTCCACCATTTGGAAAACTACAAGATGTTTTACAAAATGACAGCAAGGGAGATTCAACCTTCCATGTGGTCACTAATTTATAAGGATCAGGAAACTATTTTTAAAGTTAACGCTTGCGGGAAACACAAGCAAAATAATTTATATAGCTACTAGTAAAGATGTTTCTGAACCAGACATTGTGGTACATGCCTGGCACCCAAGAAAACTGGAAAGCTGAGGCAGAAGATCCAAACTCAAGGCCAGCTTTAGCAATTTAGTGAGGTGCCGTCTCAAAAACTAAGACTCAGGAGGCTAAGACAGATTCAAGACCAGCCTCAGACACTTAGCTAGTCACTAAGCAAACTTAGTGAGACCCTGTCTTAAAATTAAAAAAAAAAAAAAAAAAAAAAAATTTTTAAAGGGCTGGGGATGTAGCCCAGTAGTTAAATGCCCCTGGGTTCAATACTTGGTACATAAATATAAAAATAAAAATAACTGGGGATGTGACTCCTAACACTGTCTAGATATTGATGGTTATCACATAGGGGTGGGTGTTAATGACATCTAACAGATAGAGGCCAAGGATGCTACTGAACATCCTACATGCACAGGACAGTGCTCCACTACAGAGAACTTTTGCACTCAAATCATCAACAGTCTGAGGTTGAGAAATGACAATCAAGACCTAAGCTGGAATCCTGTCCCATTACATTTGTCTTTGTTTCTTTTTGCACTGCTTGGATCTGAACCCAGGGCCCTGTACATGCTGGGCAGGCACCCTACCACTGAGCTACATCCCCAGCCCTGCCCCATTACATTTGAATTCATGTTCTTATATGGCAAATGACTAACAAACTGCTGTTTAAGAAATAAAAATACTTTTCAACATTCAAGCTTTGACTGTCCCTTCATCACCATCTGAGGCCCCTGTCGCAACTCAAAAAAATGAACATCTGCTTTCCAGAGATCCCACTAACAATTTCGAAATTAAAAACCACCACCACCAACAACAAACACCCTCGTATATTTTATAAAACAATTTGGGAAAGAGCTACCCTGAGAACTTTTCACATATTATTTCCTCAAAGGAAATTATGGAAAGGTTTAGGCTTGAGGATAAGGAGATACACGCACTTGCTCTAACTGAAACAATCTGAATATGCAGAGAATGAGACAAGAAAAACAAACACCAAACCCAGAGTTAATGATACCGAAAACCCACAAGGAATAAAGTAACCTCATCCATGTCAAACAACAGCCACGCATTTACAGTTTTAATTCACATTTTACTTAGTGCAGCTTGGGTCAATTATGTTCCTATAATGAA